TTTAACTGTCAATCAGATTATGAATTAAATTCTTGTTTTGTTGAGAATCTCGTGGTTTTTACAGAACTCTAAGTTTATGACAAATTAATGGTTTGTTTTCTATAACTTATTTGATTAATCGGTGAAAAGGTATTGAAAATAATAGATTATCCCAACGTTTTCCATCTACACTGAGATCTTCATCAGGACTTAAGAGTTGGTAAGAGATATTGATTTAGTGTTAAATAAAGACTTAATTTAAATGAGAAGTTAAGCGTGTTATGAATGTATTGTTTGCTTTCATGTCAACTAAACTTTTTCTTATAAGACAATTGTATTCATATTGATATGATTTTTAAGTTAACGCTAATTGCATTCAAACCACAGTATTTGTGAAACTTAACAGTTTTAATTGAGTTCAATGAGTTGCCATTAAGTCTTTAACTTTAATTAAATCATTAATTTTTAGTAATGAACTTATCATAACTTTTTGAATTGATAAATAAAATATTGAATTGATTTGAAATAAAAGTCAATATATTTGGTTGCAGTGAACGTCTAGTTGAGAGACCTGTCTATTACCGTGTGGTCTATGGTTGTGGTCAACACTGAAAGTGCGGTATAATAGCCGACACCGCATAACAACCCCAACTCAGTGTTAGTGTCACTGACTCAGTGAGTGACTCGTGTGTCGTGTGGGCACTGAATGCGCATTAATAGCGTCACAGTCTTTGTGTGCGAGAAATGCCGCGATATTTGGGCCTTAATTTCTATAGGCTTTCAGTCAATGATTTGCAGTCATCTGTCACTCCATACGACACACATATTGTCACTCCAATAGATCCACAGACTATCACAAACAGTCACAAGATGTCCATTACCAGCACTGGATGTGAGGCATCCAGTGACAGACCCTTCAAGTCCCCACACATTCCTCCACATCAATGGAAAGCGATTCCTCCGGAAACAAGTGTCCGCTTCGACCCTAATATCAATCTCAGTGTCTTTGAACCTACCATTGAATCAGATGTTAGACAATCAATCGGATCAGTTATTACACCAACCATTGGAACCATTACTGACACCACCTATGGTTTGCCGTCTCATGTCTTGAGCACACTTTTAACCATTTATTCATTTATTTGTTTTGTTTTCAGACACAACTCAATCACGTGTTGAGAATCAACTCATAGGTTATGATTGTCTTCAAAGCACTCACTCATTAAGCTCTGGATCTGTTGTGAAGTCTACAAAACGATTGACACTACCATCGACTCCATCAAAGCTCTTCACCTCTGGTTTTGGTTTCATTTCGGAAGAGAATCCAAATTCTTGTGCGAAGACCACGGATGGCATTCAAAGCGCACCCATTGCTGCACATATGGATCCCCTCATCAGTGATAGACCAGCGATGGAGACCAGATACACATCATTTGTCTCCGACATTGTGCCCACAAATAAGTCGATTCATATGTCAAAGATAATGAATTTGAGTGATTTGTCTCAACTCGCAAACCCGGCTACTGTTCCCCAAAGACGTCCATTCTATGTGCCAAACATTCTTAAGAGTGACACCAATGACAAACACAAGACTTCAGACAACACTCCGATATTGGACTCAAAAATAATGAAAGCATTAAATGAAGAAATTTTGAGAGAGAACTCTAAACCAAATCCAATGATGTCTTCGACTCAATCACCCGCTCAACCATTTGTGGCCAAAAGGGACGCAACTCTTGGGTCAAAGGATTCGAGAAAATGTGAGGCAAATGAATGGTCGGATCCAAAGCCCTCTCCGTTTCAATTCAATTGGAAACCAAAGCTAAGAATTAATGCAATTAATGAGAACCAATGGCCCAGTAGTCAAGCAATCATTAATCAGTCAAATGGGGCTAAAAGTGTTGATAATCTCGAAGACATTGTTGCCAATGAAGGAGAAAATATGGATATCAATGAAGAACCCATTGCGAGATGTAATGCCCCGAAAAAAGCAGAGATAATGGTACAAAATTTTAAGGAGTTGTACGCCACGATTGGCTCGTATGCCGATAATACTGGACCTCAAACATCGCACACAACATCCCATACCCGTAAGGATGTGGATGTCTGTGCACCGCAGCCATTGAACAGTTGGACTCATAAATACATGCGAACACCCGTTGATAAGCCATACCACAGAAGACCTGTATTTAGTGCACAGCCTTCAAGTGCTAATGATATGAATTTCATAAGACGAATGTACTTCCACTCGAAGAATACTTCAGAGCCTCAAGAGACGAGTAAATACTTCTCGAAACGCAACGATTGGTCCAAAAATGAAATGCTGACCAATAATTTGAGGACTACTCCCAAACCATTCACTCCGAAAGTATTGAATCAATTCCAACGCAAAGGCATTCATTCGGATTTAAATGAAGAGTAAATGCTTTTATTAGGAAAATAGTCACAATTTATGAGTTTTTATGTAATAATAGTACTGTATTTATGTAATAATAAGTTAGTACTGTAATAAGAATTGAATTATAAACAACTACTGTAAATATCTTTGTAAAACATTCAAATACTGTATAACATTACAATTTTTGTTCATTCAGACTAATTTTGTATTCATTTTGTGTAAATTAAAAAATATTGTCATTACTGTAAAGCAAACAAAATACCGGTAATATATTTATCAAAACATATAGTCTTATCGCTCGTATTCACTGCCATTCACTGAGAAATATTCGAGATTTGAATCAAAGAGTGACTGCCGGACACTCTTATAACAGGGAACACATGAGTAGCGCTGGCCGTCCAACAATTCATTCAATCCCTGTCCACAATCGCAGTACACATCGCAACCGTTGAGTCGAAGTTCCCGACAAACGGGAAATTTAGCGGACAATTGGTTCAACACATTGGGAGACAACGGCCCTCTCATCTCAATTGCTCTCAAATCATTGGCAAACCTTTCGAACAAAGGGTTGTTGTTGTGAAAGACATTACTGAAGACTATTGTGAGACTCTTTTTGGTTAAGTCATGAGTAAATTGAGTAAAGTCTTCATCGGCTATATTCGTGGCTATAAAGCACAGCAAACTATACTCTAATATGTCATAAAAGGCTTGAATAACGGACAGACAGTTAGTAATGTTTGTGAAATCTATGGCCAAAAATCTGATTTGCGGTCCATTTCGACGATCGAGTGCCCAAACTGCTTGAGCATTGAGTCGATCGCATCGACTGATTGTCAGACTGTCCAGTGTTTGACTCATTCCTCGAAATACAGGCACTAAATCCTGGACACAATCAGAGATTACCAACGATTCCAGTGATGCGAACGATGAGACCATTGTTGACAAACTTTTCCAGTCGTTGAGTGTGTTTCCCGCGTATGAGAAATGAATGAGTTTTGCTGTAAATAGAGTGCAATACAAATGGAGTAGTTACCTAGTTTACCTCACTATAGACTATTGATGGACTGTTACCAAACTGTTTGAATCAGGTAAGCCAAAACTGCTCTGGGACCTACAACAGCTTGGCGTTTGTGGCTTCTAAGAGTGTCCACCACACAATCCATTTGAGAGCAATTGGACTCACGAGACACTCGCAGAAGTGGATGCACTCGACGGCTCTCATCGGACGTATAAATGGCGCCAACTTTTCCACACTTCGGCTTAACTTGAGAGCACCGTTCGGTTCGGTGATCACCAATGAGAGGTCGTTGTATTGGCTACTTCTGTGACTACTCTCACCGCAACTGATCCCACGTTTGAGTCCAAACGTAATGCACTGCTGACGAGTCATCATCTCTTTGACTGTTTGTCGCCACGAATGACATACCCTTTGGATTCCAAACCTTTGCTTTAGTGTTAAGTATGAGAAGATAGTCGACAGCAGATTCTCGTCGATCACGTCATCGATGGTCGCACTACTGCTCACGTAATCAAACATCGGTTCCACTGGACATGCCTTCACGTGTTTAGGCGTTCCATAGGATTCGTTCGTTGAAGACATTGGCGTCAACTCAGCGTTCAATGGTTTGGGAGAACTGTGCATCACTTTGGGTGACATGTCTTGTGGTGCATACGACTCATCGCCACTCAAATCAAGTTTACGGATCATGTGATCGACGGACAGGCGATTGGTTGGAGTGGACGTCAACGGACTAATGGCACGCATTTGTGGTTCGCTATTATCTGCGGCGCCGGTCTTTGCAGTGACCCTACGCTTGGCTTTCTTCACCTCAAGTGTTGATCCCCTGAACGCGTGTCCATTATATCGGCGTATAGTCTGTTCTGCGCCGAAGATATCGCCGTACCAAATGAGAGCACTGGGAGGGCGGCCCTCCTTTCGCCTCATCTTAATGTGGACGGCGTTCCCCACGAGACTGAACGGAACCTTCAGAAGCGCCTTCTCGTCCATATCGTCGGGAAAGCCTCTCACGTGCAACACGTGATCCAACACTTCGTACTTCTCCTCGGATGACATGACAGTGATGTCCACTCTTATACCCAATGACTCTACAAAGTGGTCAACATTGAGATAACTGTAACCGTAATGACAATCAGTGCACTAATTGTTACAGTCTTGTGGTCAAAGTGGTCACAGATTAGCGGTTTGGTGGATGGCCAAAGAGTGTTCAATACGTGTCCTCTTAAGCGTTTGGACACAATTCGTGTGTCAATGAGATGATGAGATAATGTATGCAATGCTCACATCAATAGTGGCCTCAACTCGCACTGAATGCAAGCAATCTCATCAATAGTTTTTCAAATCCCTTCACTTATTCATTGACGCAATACTCACGCATTCACTGCACTGTCACTGCTATGCACTCTCGCGCCCTCTAGTGTTGTATGAGTTGTCGTCTAAAATGTGGTCAAATATATACAATTCAAAGCGAACAATCTATTTATATAAGGAAATACGTTAAGTTTAGTCGAAAATTTGGGACCATTTGATATAAAACAATCACAACTAATATTGGTATAGATCTTAATCTAAAATGATACGAAACCTAACCATACAGTTATAGCAATCGATTGACTCTATCATACGATACCCAGTGTTGACACTGAAAGCTATTGTTAAGACATTTCACTCTAATTATCATTAAATTGGTCTCAATTGGGATCAAATCGACGAAATCGAGTGAAGAGTGACAGACACGAAGATATTGATTGGCCATCGAAGACATGTCTGTAGCGAATGCACGGCTCAAACAGGGAGTACTCAGTGGACAGAGGATGTGGTGGTGGCGGTCATGGATATGTAGGTCCGGTGGCCATCGATTGGTGTCCTCTTCAGCCAACTTCCAGTTAAAACCATTCAAATTACACAAACTCGAGGACTCGCCCGACACGGAGGTGACGCTCCAGAGGGACGATGCGCTCAAGTATTACCGCCAAATGGTGACCATCCGGCGCATGGAGGCGGCCGCCAATGCCCTCTACAAAGACAAGTCTGTGCGGGGCTTCTGTCACCTGTACTCCGGTCAGGAGGCGGTGGCCGTCGGTCTCGAGAACTCGATTCGGTTGGTTGTGTTGTGTCTCATGTCTTGCTGTCATTGTAATGATTGGTGTGTTTGTGATGTCCAGTAAAACAGATGCAGTGATCACCGCATATCGGGCTCACGGCTGGAGTTGGATTCGTGGCGTGTCTTTGACGGGCGTATTGTCTGAGTTGACGGGCAGACGATCGGGTTGTGCGCGAGGGAAAGGCGGGTCAATGCATATGTATAACGAGGTTTGTGTTGAGTCTTACCGTTATCATTGAATTGTTTAGCAATTGATTGCTGAAGTGATGACAACATCCTTGCGCTCAATGAGCCCTCGATTGCGAGGCCTATGAAGAGTACTTTTGGGCTTTGGTTCTGACTTTGATTTCTCTCACAAATACATGTTTTCAATCCAATGATCAGTTAATGACATGTTTTACGATATGTTGTGTTTTAGAACTTTTTCGGTGGTAATGGTATAGTGGGAGCACAGGTGCCATTAGGTGCCGGCATTGCATTGGCCCAGAAGTATAAGGGAACCGATGCGGTGACTCTGGCGCTCTATGGCGATGGCGCTGCAAATCAGGGACAGGTGTTTGAAGCGTATAATATGTCTAAACTTTGGTCATTGCCGGTGATATTCGTCTGTGAAAACAATGGCTACGGTATGGGAACGTCGGCTGAGAGGGCAGCCGCCAGTACTGAGTATTATAGTCGCGGCGATTATATCCCTGGGCTGTGGGTCGACGGTATGGATGTGTTGGCCGTAAGGAAATATTTGTGCATTAATTGCGATGTGATTTGCATTAAAACTATTGCCCTATCCGTCAGACCCGAGAGGGCACACGTTTTCTGGTAGATCTGTGTCGCAAAGGAAAGGGACCGTTCGTTATGGAAGTGGCGACCTATCGATACCACGGCCACAGTATGTCAGACCCGGGAACCAGTTATAGGACTCGCGAAGAGATACAAGAAGTGCGTCAAACACGAGATCCAATCACTTCATTCAAAGTAATTATCATATGATTTGTCAATTGAATGGTTGTTTAAATTGATGCTATTTTGTATGAATTGAAGGACAAAATAATTACCACTGATTTGGTGACCATCGAAGAGCTTAAAACCATTGATAACGAGATTAAGAAAGCAGTGGACGATGCGGTCACTATAGCCCGTTCCGACCCAGAGATAGGTCTCGAGGAACTGTATGGCGACGTCTACGCCAATCCATTAGAAGAGACCATTCGTGGCATAACTCCGTTCACTGAACACAAACACATTAAAGTCAATAAACCGCATAATATTCAGTTATAATAGGATTTAACTTATAGTTTAGTTTTGAAAATCATTTTTCAACTAAATCTAACGAATTTCAAAAATCAATTGACAGTAATATAGGAATCAGTGACATAATATATGTTCAAATTATTATTATTACGGTATTACCCGTATATCGGTACTACAAAACTATTGTTTTTTGTTTTAATTTATTTGTATTTAAATGACATTTTGTTAAATTTGTGGTTTTTGTTTGGCTCCAATTAGTTAATTATATTTACAAACAAGTTAATTTTAAATTATATTAAATTTTAGTTAAAAATAAAATATTTTATATAAAGTGTTGACTTTACATAAATGGATAGGACTGACCAAACGATTAGTCTAACCATTCAAAAGATACTGTACCTGTACTCACGATTAAATTACCCATTTAAAGATTGAAGTAAAGTTACTATACTTATAATTGAAAATTAAACGTCAAGAACATTTTGAATTTTTAGAAATAGTATTCAATTTTTGAAAATTAAATTATCTATTCATATTGAATATTACTGTTTCTTTGAATTAAACGCCAATGGATTAGATAATGAATTGAATATTAATAGATAAGAACTATAAATAGTGAACTGATCCACACTTTCTTCGTTTGCCAAAAAGTTGCGTAACAAATATGTGGAGACAAATTACAGTGAATAGTATATGAGGTGTTGTGTGCAAAAAGCGGTTAACTGTTCACATAATTGGTGTGCAGTTAACACATTCGTGCAAAATATAAACAATATGTTTACAAAATAATAGAGACATTGAGTGCTGTAGTGATCGACAAATGACTGAATGAATGAATGGATCGATAAGTGTTTGAATGGCTATTGATTTGACATTTGATTAACACTTATATCGCGAGTGAAGTGAGAATTGAAGTCATTATGACATAACACTTGTCTCGCAATCACCTCTTCATTCACCACAAGACATGTCTCCTATTTATGGATATTTACTGCTTTTACTATCACCTCTACTGCCACTCATCAGTAGTCATCCCTGGTAAATTTCTAACTTCATTTCAATGATATGGATATTAACTTTTAATTTGCAGTTCTTGTAAAACTTAAAAATCTTTATCATAAGTTAAAAACTTTTAATTTAATAGATAAGTATAACTTATAATGAATTTCTTTGAATTAAACGCCAATGGATTAGATAATGAATTGAATATTAATAGATAAGAAATATAAATAGTGAACTGATCCACACTTTCAGTTTGCCAAAAAGTTGCGTAACAAATATGTGGAGACAAATTACAGTGAATAGTATATGAGGTGTTGTGTGCAAAAAGCGGTTAACTGTTCACATAATTGGTGTGCAGTTAACACATTCGTGCAAAACATAAACAATATGTTTACAAAATAATAGAGACATTGAGTGCTGTAGTGATCGACAAATGACTGAATGAATGGATCGATAAGTGTTTGAATGGCTATTGATTTGACATTTGATTAACACTTATATCGCGAGTGAAGTGAGAGTTGAAGTCATTATGACATAACACTTGTCTCGCAATCACCTCTTCATTCACCACAAGACATGTCTCCTATTTATGGATATTTACTGCTTTTACTATCACCTCTACTGCCACTCATCAGTAGTCATCCCTTTGAAGTCATTATGACATAACACTTGTCTCGCAATCACCTCTTCATTCACCACAAGACATGTCTCCTATTTATGGATATTTACTGCTTTTACTATCACCTCTACTGCCACTCATCAGTAGTCATCCCATTCTCATTGTCCTGTCTTTCGATGGCTTCAGAAGTGATTACATAACTCGTGAGCGCACACCACATCTGCACCAATTGGCTAAGTCTGGGGTCAGAGGTCAGTGTCTATGAGATTGTCTGTCGAGTAGTATTTGATTGAATGGTTTGTGTTGTGATGATTAGCTCACATGATGTCATCGTTTGTCACCAAAACATATCCCAATCACCAGACAATAGCCACCGGTTATTACGAAGAGTTTCACGGAATCGTTAACAACGAGATGTTTGATCCCTTGTATAACGAGACCTTTAATGTGGACAAGTCTGCAGACAAGTGGTGGGCCGAGAGCCCTGTCCTTCCCATTTGGGTAACCGTTGTCTCCCTTTAGTTATTATGTCTTCACTTCACAGTCCATAACAGAGACAGAGATTGAGTCTTAATGTGGACAAGTCTGCAGACAAGTGGTGGGCCGAGAGCCCTGTCCTTCCCATTTGGGTAACCGTTGTCTCCCTTTAGTTATTATGTCTTCACTTCACAGTCCATAACAGAGACAGAGATTGAGTCAACACTTCTAAGTTGAGATCACATGTGATATACCACTCAGAAGTGAGTGAATAATCATTGTGTTTAAGAATCAGACTATTCGTGTCACTTACCATTCAATTGAACATTAATTTTCTCTTTTGTTGGACTTTATCTTTGGAGTAGTCATCGACTGTGTAGTCAAACTAAACCATTGTTTGCAATAATATTTAAAATTGTTTGAATGTGTGAACAGATGGCGAATCAGATGATTGACCCCATCAACAGATTCAGCGCATCCATGCAATGGCCCGGAAGTCATGTCCACTATAGAAATCAGACGATTAAATATCTGCAAGACTTTGACGATAAGATGGAATGGACGGCGAGAGTGGATAAGATAATTGAGTGGATGTCTGACACGACAGAGCCTGCAAACTGTGTGTTCGCGTACTTCGATGAACCGGACACTACTGCCCACGAGTTCGGACCATTCAGTGATGAAGTGTTTGCAATGGTTAGTAAGGCTGACAATACCACCAAATATCTGCTACAGAGCCTGCAAACTGTGTGTTCGCGTACTTCGATGAACCGGACACTACTGCCCACGAGTTCGGACCATTCAGTGATGAAGTGTTTGCAATGGTTAGTAAGGCTGACAATACCACCAAATATCTGCTTCAGAGGTTAACAGAGGAAAGTCTTTTGAGTCACACGAATCTGATTGTGCTCTCAGATCACGGAATGGCTGAAGTCAGGTATGGAAACACTTTATGATGTGTTTGTGTGTCAATTAAATATTTGCTTTAATATGAAGGTCTGATCGGGTAATCAATTTGAATGAGTTCCTGAACCCGGACTGGTATGTGATAGCGGGCGCGTCTCCCGTGTGGTCCATTCAACCCAAACCTCACTTCGAGGATAAGGTTTTTCATATACTGATGAACGCCTCGAAGACAAAGAATTTTACTGTTTATAAGAAGGAAGACATCCCTCAAGAGTTTCATTACAGAAGCCACAGAAGAATTTTACCCATTTTTCTGATAGCAGACGAGGGATGGGATGTCTATCAGAACATGACTTGGACTCCAAGAGGTGTCACATTTGTTACCATTAGTTATATGAATAGAAATAATGTTACAATTGTGTTATTTTAGGCGTAACTGTTTGGGGAAATCACGGATACAACAACTCATTGCCGTCAATGCGCCCACTTTTCATAGCCAGTGGACCGGCATTCAAGTCGGACTACGATCACGACAAGCCTTTTATAAACGTAGATCTGTATCCACTAATGTTACGCGTCCTGCAATTGTTTCCTACCAAACAGTTTCCAAGTAATGGATCCATGAATAATGTCTGGGATCTACTAATTCCTCCCATTTCTGCCGAGGATTACGACGAATCCACACAAAAGTGGTTTAATTGTGAGTTGAATTCAATCGATTGTTTAGATTATCTGCGATTTTTAGTTGTGTTTATGTCGTTTAGTTTTGTTAGTGTTTTTTGTAGATTTTATTTGGAAACAAATTTATTTATAAACGTTTTAATCAATTTGTTTACTAGATTTGACTCATTATTGGAATATATACTATATTTTTGTGGACTTTTTATCTTTAGTTATTCTCTACATTTTCGGCGGTTTCGGTGTCTTATTCTTCGGAAGCGTTTGTCTCATTTGCAGCACAAATATCGGCAAATCGTTGCGAAAGTCTCGACCGCCGGATATCGTATGGGATTCGTTGGGCACTGGACTCGACATAGACCTGCGCTCACACTTAGACCCAAATGTCAATGACTTTTCCAAGGGTTTCGACGACGATGTTATCAATCGCGCCAAACGTCTTCAACGCCCGGAAGAGACACTTCTTCTACTGGAAGACGACGACGAGGAGGACCTGTGATAATAGATATTGTTATGAATTGTTAACAAATTGTTGTTATTTTTATGAATCATTCGACATTTCTATCAAATTATGTATTTTTGTCTCAAACTAACGGATTATTTGATAATTGGAAAAGTTTTTATACATTGAAACACTTTTCGTAATACTTATAGTCATGAAATTATTGTTACTGTACTGTACAATGTACACTATTACGGTATTAATAGTGCTTTTATAACATTTCCATCACTTGAATTCAATTTTTATTTTTGAATACAACTTTTCAAAACAGACAGACTCGTATTTACGTGGTTTACTAAATCTATTGATAAGTCATTTGTTATTTAAAAACTATTTTATAAGTTTTGTAATTTAGTTTATTTACAAACTTTTATTGCCACTTGTTTGATGTTTTTATTTAAATGTTCATTTATTAAACAACCAATCTCAATAATTCATTCATTTCTCACTAATTTATTGATATTTTCTATGATTTTTCAATTTTTCAATAAATTCTCCAATTCTTTATTAATGTGTTTTCTATTGATCATTATATTTGAAACAATAGATTGGAATACAAAGCACCGGTATTTATGTTCTTCCGTTTCGACAAATTAATGTGTTTTCATTTGAAAATCAAATATATTTTTAATATTACCGGTATGTGATATAGGATGAACAGAAAATGATTAAAAGTATATACCGGTACAAAGTATTTATGATTTGGAAGTTTTAAAATTAATTATCAATCATTTTGTAAAAAACATTAGACATTGTGTTTGCGACAAATGATGACAATTACAAGTAATCTATAATTTTTTAGACTCACTTATGAATATAATAAGTTAGTGAAATAAACTTCAATAACTTAATTAGTTTAAAATTAATTGAGGTTTTTATATACAGTACAGTATTATTGGAAATGTGATTAGAAATACTGTACTGTATATTATGTGTAACTGAGAAACCACTTAATTCTCACTGACTTAGTGAATGAATGCAAGAATAAAATAAGCATTTCTATGAATATTATACGAGTACTGTATTGTTAAATGAAAAACTTGTTTTGAATTCATATGAAAATTATAGACTCTCTTGTTATTGTCATTAATTAGCAACAATTGAATAATAATTTGTGATTCATATGTAATTTAATTGAAACCTTCGGTTTGCACTAAACACAGGAATGTTTTCGTATTATATACACGATATTTGGGTCAAAGTTATAGAGAAATAACTTTTACTTCGTTTTCTAAGGAAAATTATAATTGTCTGGATTTCTGGTTCGACTACTTTTTGCCATTTAGTGTCTTATTTTCTATGATAACTGTTTGCTGTTAATCGAGAGTCCAATTCACGACTTAGTAGTTTGTTTTCCAGATTTGGTCATCAAAACAGTCCATCACTTTCTTAGATGTGAACAAACTTTGCCAATATTTTTCGAACTCAAACTTTTTTGTGAAACTTTTTTGTTGTTTGAAACCAATTTTAAATATTGATACAATGAATGTGTTAACTGTTATAACTTTGTTGTTTAGTATTTTATCGGTAGTGTTTAGTCAGCGTTTCTTATATGGCAGGGAATCGCCTTATTTGAACGGACAGTTGTATCGCACCCAACAGTTTAAGCCATTAAAAGCTGTGGCAATACTTAATGGCAAAGGAGTTACAGGTGTCATCAACTTTGAGCAAATTGTATGTATTTTTGAATTTTTGTATCAACCTTTAACATGTAATTTTAAAATATTGGATTGTATTTTTATTTAAACAAAGTTAACAAAGTTATATAAAGTTTATTTAGTGCATAAAAGAGTTTATTGAAAATTTATTGAAAATATGTCAAAACTAAAGTTATAATAAATTGTGAAATTCATTGAGAAATAGAGTAATTAGGAAATGAATAACAGTTTTTACCGTAATTATAATGTATTACAAATGGTTAACACAAATTATTTAATTGAAATTGTTTTTTTAAGCAAACTGAATAATACTTCAAAATTTAATTAATATATTAATAAAATATTTTTAAAATTCTAAATTCTGAATAATATGTTGAAATTGGTGTTAAATAGGGCTACGATAAGGTTCGGGTGACGGGTAAGATTGAAGGTCTAAGTAAAGGTGCCCACGGTTTCCATGTGCACCAGTTTGGAGACCTGACCAACTCGTGCACCAGTGCTGGCGGACACTTCAATCCCCATAACCGAGAACATGGATCTCCCGATGACTTCAATAGACATGTAGGAGATTTGGGCAATGCTTTCGCCGACGACAATGGTGTGGCACAGTTAGACATCCAGGACTATTACCTATCCCTCAATAGTGGCTCCAATTCCATTGTAGGCCGAGCTGTGGTGGTTAGTGTATATCTTTATGTTTTAGTAATTATAGTGTAAGTATAGTGTAGTCTAAAAATAAACTAATTGTTAAAACAAGGTTCACGAGAATATGGATGATTTGGGTCGTGGGGGTCATGAACAGAGCAAAACAACGGGCAATGCTGGCGGTCGGGTAGCCTGTGGTCTGATTGGTTGGGCCAATGATAAGGCCTAAGTGCTTGACATTTGAATTCAATTTGTTTGCTTCAATTATTGTTAAATATTTATAATTTAATATAACATTTCGCTTATGATTTTGTATTCAATTCAGACCTCAAAGAGGATTCTTTACCCATAGCTAACACATAATGTTTATCATATTTCATCGAAATTATTATTTTTAATTACAATATTATTTAAAAGTTGTATTAATTTTTCTATATATAAACTTTTAAGAAATAACTCGTATTTAAAGTTATAAAATATAATTTTTATAAAAAAATTGATTTATATATAACTTTTATGTCTATAATAAATATTTTGTTAAAATTGCCGAAACCGCTAAAATAATTATTTTTATTAAACACGTTGTCATTAAACAAGTGTTTTTAAAGTTAAACAGTAAAACTATAAATATTATTTTAAAAAACATAAAAGTTTTTTGGAATAACTTAATAGCCTTTGTATGAATGACTTTAAAAATAAAATTTTAATTAATTAATTAATTTCCTTATTTTAATTTATTAGATTGAGATGTAAAAATTCTTTGTATTGTAACTTTATGCAGTATCTGAATGAATACACTACACTTTAACATTAAACATTTATTACTTTTAATGAAATTACAATGAAAAATATTCTAGTTAATAAAATCAACCATGTTTAATGCTTATGAGTTTAGCAAGGACCGCGCCGGTGACATTAATTGCATTCTGTACGACACTGATTAGCCCTGGGGTTATGGATAAAAAGGTTCCCAAAAGTGAATTGAGACCCTTGAGACCAGCCAGACATGAGACAATAGTGACCACAGAATTCAACAGATTTGCCAATACTGTCAATACTAGATATACGAGTGCATTGATCAGTGTATCCCCAATATCCCCGTGCCGGTCATCCACCACTTCGCTCCCAAACACTGTATAAGTATATAATCATTGGTTATATGATTACAAATGAATGCATTTCCAAAGAATTACCCAAAGAATGTGATTCGTCGGTGATCTCTTGGCAGACAATTGTGTTTAAAATGCAAATTCCGATTCCGATAAATAATAATAATTTCATTTTTAAATTATTTTTATTTATGATATATAACAGAATATATTTTTGATTTTTTATGATTAAAATTTTGTTTGTTTTGTCTTTTTATACCTCAATTAGAAAGCAATACATGTTTTACCAAATCATGTGTTTTATGAATTTGATTTTTTGGGGCCAATATTCTTTCAATCACATTAAAGTGCATTATAGTTATTAATAATTATTATTAAAATATAAAATATAATACATGTTTGTAATAAAGTGTTTAATTTGCAGCATACAGTACACAGCAATTAATTTAGTACCCAAAGCTGTTTTGAGTAAAACTAAAATTGTTTGATTAATAAATTTAATATTTAAAGAGATTACGGTATATGAGTTGCTAAAAGTTTTAACTCATTTTAAAATTATAAATATTTTTGTAAAGATTATATTTAAAACATAAAATATAAGTTATTTATAAATTAATAGCTAAATAGTTTTTTAATTTAACTAATAAGATAGTATATTAACTGCATTCTAAGATACTTATGACATTTTATTAGATTTCGAAGTTTATCTCAGATAGATATCTCGAAGCGAGTTATAATATAAGCAAAATAAAATACAGAATATATAAATATGATTAATAATATATAGTTTATAATATTTGAACTATACCGATACTTATCCTGTTAAATTTCCCAAAGTCTGTCCGATAATGGAGACTAAATTGTTGAGAACTCCTACAACACCGGGCAATGCATTCGTCAATATATTGCCGACCAATGAATTGATTCCTTCGACTCCGAGGAGGCACTGAACGATAGTCACCACAGCGTTCAACAGCTGAGCCAATACTGTGATCACCAAAACGACCAGAGAGTGGATTAGGTTTCCCGCACCGGCAGCACAGGCACAGCCCGACGGGCCCAGACCTCCCAGACCTCCGAGACCTCCATTTTTAGCATCTGTTAGCTTTCGTTGATCATTAGCGCCATAACCACCCGATTCTTGCGATTTTTGCTGTATTTCTATGTCTTTAATATATTATATAATTATATAATTAGAATAAATTGTTTGAGTTTTTAACTATATTTTTGAATTTAAATAATTATTAAATAATTACTCGAAGCACTGGTAGTATTGCTGGATAAGCAATAGAATGGGAATATAATTACACAAATGAATGTAATTAAAACAACTCTCATTTTTAATAATTTACTGTATTTTGAATAAAATTTTATCAATTTTAATATAAGCTAATTTTAACAAACTTTTATACCGTTTATTTGCATAAATTAAAAAATGAAAATTAAACAAAATAAAGATTCAACAGCTTAAAGTACAGAATATTTTTAATTTACCATACAATTATAATTATTGTAATTCCATATTAATTACACTGTTACCGTATAAATAAAATATATTAATACTGTACTAAGAATTAACAAATATTTTGATATAACATTTATTAGAAAGAGTTTAATTGAGATTCAAACTGAGGATAAGAAAATATACTGAGAAAATGAATCAAACTTAAAATCAATGTTAGAATAGTAAAGAATAATAATTGTGAATACCGTGCCATACATTATAAATATTAATGTTGATTATAATTATATATAAACTTATAATGAGATGACTAATTATTGATAAATTGTCACAAGTTATTGATTTAAGTATTTTTAAAGAAATTAAAGCTTAATATTGGAGTAAATGAACACTGAATTAAAGATATAGAGTAACTATAAGAGTAAGGCAGTAGTGATTGTCTAATCATAGATCATAATCGTATGGAATGGTGTCATCGGAATCAGTGGTTCTTGGAGTGGGTGTTCCTGTGGGCCAACAACTGGTTGAAGTGAAGGAATGACTTGAAACAGTTGTGGTGATCGCATGTGAACCGGGTCTCCTTCAGGTGGTATTGTCTCATATGATTCCTCATATTACCAGTCGATGCAAACGTCTTGAAGCATCCCTTCCACTCACACACCACCCGCTTGTCGTCCGAAGAATCGGATTCTTGGCTCTCATTGGCCGACAAATCAGTGGACGATCTCATGCTATCAGTGTATGACCTCTTCTTCGTGTTAAAAGTGGTCACAAAATCTAAAAAACTCTTCGAGTATTCGGTTTTGAATTTCAAGTCACACTCAGAGATGGTTTCGTTTGGAGATAAGGTCTTTGTGTCATCCGATGAGGGCTTTTGTGGGCTTTCGACCAATTGTTCACTCGTTTTGTGTCCATTTGGGCGCAAATTATACCCATTTGTCGACCCATTGAGCGCTGATTTGTCTTTGGATGTGTTGGTCCTAACTTTGCCAACAATTGGATGGCTGTCCGCCATATGTCTTAAGTAGCGGTCATTGGAGACAGTCTTGTAATGACAGACATTGCACTCAAAGTACTTCCCGCTCTTCGCCACGAAAGACATCTATTTTGGGGATATCTCTACAGTCGACCACAATTTGTGACCAAATATACCATTCAATAGATTCACTGATTGTTCACAACATTCACAAGAGTTTCATTTGTTTTGTTCAAACGTGTTCAATATGATATGATAATCACACTTAAATGAGCATGGTAATGAGGGTAATGGGGTGGGGTGGGGGTGGTCCTTTCAACCCCCTATTAGTCTGCTTTCAATGAATAATACGTTTAGATTGAACTTCAATTACAATTACACTAATCACTGTCCCCTCAGACCCCCAACAATGCATATTATTGCGTTATAACTGTATGACCCAACATAAATTGAGTAGGGTTGTTTAATATTGTAAATTATATTATTACAGTATTAAACATTATGCGGGTATACATTAATTCAAACACCTCGTAAAATGGACCCCCACTCAGGTATTAATATAAATTTATATGATAATAGATGTGAAATATACCCATAATATGAATGGACATAATATGCAACTTATATGATATGATATACTGTAAGTTAAAACTGAAATATATTGTGCTATTATACAACCCTATTGTGAATGTGACTCACATTATGTGAGGGAAAATAAATTGACAGTCCATTGGAAAGTGTCGCTAATGTTATGTTTTTTGAACACATTATGAACTGCGAGTCAAAGTGACTATCATTTCACAGAGATTTGTGACAATCATTGAGACATAATTGAGACCATCGATGGCTAACTGTATTGATAACAATGACAACACCAATGGCATTGACATTGAAGAGGTGGACACGACTGGCGACTCGAGATGTGGTGGTGATGGCCGGTCTTCGTTGGCCATGAGGTGCACGGATGAGATGAGTGGCAATTCAGACGTCTTAAGACGTTTAGATGGATGTCTTAAGACGGGACACGACATCCAGAAGTACGACGGGATAACTGTGTGCGTGAAGTGTGGACAGGTATTCAGAGACTCGGGAGACATGTTGAGGGCCGACCCCACGCAGACCTATGCCTGCAATCATGATCCGGACGGCAAGAAAGCCTACATCCGAGGCATCCATGGATCCAAAGACACGTTCGCGACGGCCAAGCGGTTCAATACTGCAGTGTTGGACACATTGGTGTCGAGCCTATCGCTGGGCAAACATATTCAGGATCTGGCGGTCGAGAAGTATAAGACTTTGATAGCGACTCACTTCCGGTGCGCGACGTTGACCACGAAGAGGGTGTTGTCCGCCATATGTCTGTACATAACACTCATAAGTGAGGGCAATATCGTGACAATCGGACACATCTGTAATGCCGTCAATTGCACGCCATATGAGTTCAATCGAGTGTACAATCAAGTGATCAAAGAGTTCCCGGACTTTAGACCGGAACAGATGCCCATCGAGTCGTTGGTTCCGGTGGTCTTGAGTGAGGCCAACATCGATAAGACTGAGAGAAAGGTTAGAGTCTTTGGGTTTCAATGTCTTTCGCATTCATTTCATTGACTCAATGTTTTGTGTATGACTTCTAGGCTCTGGAGGAGAAGGTGGCGAAGATCTTGGAGTTGGAGAGGGAGTGTTGGCTGATAGAGGGCCGGACGCCCACTCACATCATATACGCGGCCACATTCCTGGCCTGGAAGTCCATTAAGCCATACGAGCGCCGTAAAGTGAAACTCACAGAGTTTTGCCGACAAATGGGTATTGAATACAAACACACGACTTGTGAGAGAGTCACCGAACTCTTCAATGCCATCAAACGACTGGCCGCTCAACTCGTCACCTATAGGACAGTTGCCATCACTAAGTCCAACATCAGTATCCATTTGGACCGAGTATTGCAATACCAGTCGTCTCTGGTGTTTGACTACAACCAGCAAATGAAGCGCAACTTAATAGCGAATGGCATGTCTTCGAGCGATGATAACGATCCCAACCATAAGTCTGGCGATTGGGTCCACATGTTTAAGAAGAGATCCAAATGTAAGGCTAAAACCAATGAGAGTGAGAGTGCCGTGGATTTGACGAAATCAGATGAGGAAATGTCTGATTCCGAGATCAATAAGTATTTGAGAAGTGATCGCGAAATCAAAATGATTAAGAAGTTGAAGAAGTATGCGACAGATCCGTCGGATGTATAGGTTTATTGATTAGTTCACAACAACTATTTATTGTCCATTATTTCATATTATGAATCATTTTCTGTTATGATTAATTACATGACACCTGAACTCATACTTACCGTACATTTAATGCCAATCTCAATAATAGTAAATACTGTATATTTAATATATTTGTACAGAAATATCAGTAAATAATTAGTAAATTTAGTACAGTATTAAGAAGTGCTTATCAATAATATAGAGATTTAAATATCATTTAATTTATTATTAAATAAGTTATATTTTTAAAATGATTATAAAATTGTTATTTAATAACTTAAGCGGAAACCTTATTGTTCGTAGTCTCTAACCATTTTGGTTGCCTATTAACGAGTAAGTATTTGACCACTATTTTGATATTCACATATTAACAGTTTAGCAATTCATAACACTGATCTTTGTATTTTTCATTCATAAGCTTAATATATAATCTATGTCATTTGCAATTTTGTAATACTGTACAGTATTTTAGAGTTGTTAAAATTTTTCTAGTTTTTCAATAAAATAAAATCTTGAATAAAAATATTTTTGATACCGTAAATGTTAAACGGTACATCTCACAATTTGTATCATAAATAAATGTTTGTTCAAGAACTCGTAATCAAGTCAGAGTAAGACTATAATAAAATCACTCAAACTCTATTACGGTAATAGTACTGTAAATTGACAAATACAGTAAATACTGTATCAAAATACCGGTAATATTTTTTTTAAAAATAATAAATACTTTATTTTATCTCTAAGTATAGCCCTTATGCCTAAATAAGAGCTACATATACATAATAATGGTTTAATTCTTAGTACAGTGATAGTAATTATATCGGTAATATTTTATTGTGAAATACAGTACATGTAACATATTTTGTAATTATTTGTGTGAAATTAAGTTTTCTACAAACTGGTTCAACTGTAGGCCATAGTTTTCATATGAATGAGTCATTTCAACTTGAATTATAAAAGTTTTGAATCAATGAAAATAGGTTTTATGAAATTGTCGACGAAATAATAAATGATGATATTATAGATAATCTAATGAGCTTTGTTCATATGTACAGTATATGCAGTATGATATGTGCTCCCATTCATTTGAATATAATAATTCTAAAAGCTAACCAATACTATACTATTATACTGTAGTGTCTGTCAATGTGCTTAACATTGCAGACATAGCTTACTCTTATCATATAATTTGTCAACTTTTAAGTTATACACAAAACACTATTGTTTGCCATTCAGTGAGACAATCGTTAAGATGACGGAACCGATAGGTTGTACCCGAAGTGGTAAGAGATTTGCGTCCGAAAGCGATGACCGGGGAAGTAGTGGTGATGGCGAGCGAGTGGTGGGACGTAAGCGCAAGTCTTCCAGTGGTCCTCGAGTTCGAAGACTTGTGAAGATCAATGAGACGAGTGATGGGACACAAAGTGTGACAACCATTCCCATCGATATATCACACGATTTGAAGTCTTACCGGAAGACTTATAATCTATACATCAGTTGTGATAATCGGGTCGATGTGAAGATTAGTCGAGAGATGACTGACCGACCAGGAGATGACTGACCACAAGAATTCAAAGACAAGGGATTCATAAGAATTGTTGTATTTATATAATTAATTTTGTATTAAATCGTGTCATTAATTGAATTATTTAATAAAATCTATGAATTTCGTGTTAATTAACAGTATTTTTAATTTAAATAAACAAGGTAACGAGTTTATGATGTGAAGTATCAGTTAAAAAATATATAAATTTTTCATTTATGAAATGTTTGACATAACTTATATATAAATTGATGATTAATTTTAAGACATAACCAAATTAGCGGTCAATTTCTTGAAGTGACAAAAATCCATCTTTATTTGTGTCCATTTTGTCGAACTCATAGTCGATGTCGTAGTCATTGAATGCCTTTCCAATGAGATACCTGTGCGCTTCTCTATAGCTAAGCTTACCATTAGAATCCGTATCCAATTTAGCAAACAGTTGTTTGGCATTCAATGTATTTTTGGATTTAGCAGATAAGGACAACAATTTTTGGTAAAAGTATTTGCCTTTACATCCCGACGCTATGTTCCAACACCAGAGACTGGAGTCCCCTTTCCGACAGCCGCCCCCACAGTTACAGCCAAACACATTACAAGACCCGAGACCGCAGTAAATGGTGGCTTCCGTGCAGTCATAGCACCGGTCCATAGATCGCGAGCTCTCTTCGCATTTGAGTGGGACGTGACAGCACTCACCCCCAGCCCTGTCCACCCGTACCATCATTATGACTGCTAGTAGTGTGCCGTATATTACAGTTGCACTCATTGTCACTACAGTTGACTTTCAATTCTGTTATATAATTAATGTAATGTAAAAAATATAGAGAATATGATTTCATATTCAGATACAATATAAAAAAGACAGGATTTGTGTGAAAAGTGTGTTAAAAAGGATATTATGTGGTATAAAACTACAGGAAAGTAGGCTTTACGGTACATATATTTTGTATACGAAAATATAAATTAATCTGCAATATAAATTATTATTATAATAGTATATTTTATATTCTGTTTTGCAATAGACTTTCAGTTTACAAGAATTGTGACGTTTGTGATGAAGACTCCTCCGCAGACTTCCACTCATTTACATATTTGTCTTATAATATAAAATTGCTATAATACACAATATTTATTAACAAAGCAAAGTGTTAAATCTCACCAAATCAAGAATTTAGATTTAGGTGTACCGGTAGATATGCGATAAGTTATTCAAATCAATGAATATTCTGAACATAAAGTTAGATAAATTGCCCTCTTATTGAAACTTAGGCTAAAACTTATTACCTTAATAAATTCTGATTATATTTTCAATTTATGATAAATATAAAATAATTGCCTCTATTTAAATATACAAATATCTTATCATAAATAAGTTTGATTTGAGTCAGTTATTTATATATTTATTGATATAAAGATTGGCTAAAAAATAAGGTATGAAACAAATTTTCAGTAATCAATTGAAACACATTTTAATTACTAAATTGATTTATTCTAAAAATTCATGTCTTTTACAACAATAAACATTATATAAATAACAAAAACTATTTACTGCATTATTAATATCAATTACAATGATATGAATGTTAAGAAATAAATTAAATACTTGTTATAAAAACATACGAAACAAATCTCTGTTTAACACAAACAACTCGAGATTCGATGATTTCGATGATAATGTAATTCTCGATTAGAAAATTATTTCAATTAAAAGTCAATACATTATTGCAAACATCAATCGCCGACATCCGAGTCCTTGTCTCCGATGGAAAAGAGTATTACGAAAGCGATGGCCAACAGAGCGGTTCCCAACAAATCGCCCAAAGCTGTCAAGTAAGGAATGGCTGAGTTGTCTGCAAAACACAATATTTGGCAATCATTTCGTTGTTATCTATTGTTTTAATCATTGAACACAAACCCGGATCAATACACTTCTTCCACATCCATAAGACCATTGTGTGCGCGAAGTATAAGAGAAGAATCACTTGAATCAGAGCCGCCAACAGATAGATCACTAAGAAGTTCAATGTGACGGACGTGTGGCCAGCCTTCAGGAATCGTATGCCGTATGTGAAGATGAGGTGCCCCGGGATTACCATTAAGAGCAATACCCGTGCAGTTCGGGCGTGAATTGCTATCAAACAAATTATTACCGATAAGTCATGAGTCAAATTCAACAAAAATTAGATAATATTGTGATAAAATTTCACTGATTATTCAAAAACAAAATAATCAGTGAAATATTATAGAAATCATTGAAAATATTTTATAATGTTCAGCAAATATTACCACAATTTGTGCTGATTTTATAAATATTATCTAACGTCTAAAAACTAGCAAAATAGGGATTATTTGTCTTACTTTTGCTGAAAAATGCGGCGCAAGGATTGAAGCAAACTTTTGAATTAGGTTTTGGCAAAACTCCTAATTTGGATGTTTTGTGTAAATACGTGGAGATTCTGCTCGCCTTAAACCACAAAAAAATTTGTTTTATATAAATGATTAAATCATACAAATTATTCATAGCATACCTGAACGGCCACAAGATTGCCGCCAACACCTGAGCCACAAATACAAGAAATATAATGTAATGGGGAGTCATTTAATTAATATGCAAACTGTAAAACATTTAAAACTTATTACCGTTAATGACGGGTTGAAAGACTGCGATGCCTTTAAACCGAGAAACAGCAAAGTCTAGAATACAACCACCGATGCTGTGGTCGGCATAAAAATCATTAATTACTTTAAAAGATAAGTTAAGAGGGGAATGGTATTCATTAGCAGATCAATGATAAGAAATAGAAGTATAAAAAGCTATTAATGGTCACAAACCTGGATATAGCCATTGCGCTGATAACTGGTGTCCAACCATTATATAAGACTTCTTTTGTGTATTTGTTATTTTTGGCGATAAAACACCAGACGGGGGTCAGCATCAGAAATATGACCAAAACTAGACAACACAACCAGGGATTGGTATCTGTTTTAGGGTATTGTATAATATTTAACAACAGCTTATATGGAAATAGTTTTCATTTAGAAGTTGTCATTACCGACAGTATAATACAAAATGTCACTGAATTGTGCGAATAGGGCTAATGTAGTCAGGTCGCCGAGTGATGCGGCTATAGGTGTGGCCACATTGTCTGTCCATTAGTAGATTTATGCATAAAATTACATTTTAAAAATTTTAGACAAACGAGTCATTCATTAATTGATATCAAACATAAATACCAGGATTAATGTGACATTTATGCGACACAATCACCACAACTATCATTAGTAAACCTAATAATAAAATAAACAAAAGATTAGAGACTTTGAACACAAATGTTTAGATTTGGTGTCAAAAATAGCAAAAACATTAAATAAAGCGCTAATTGATTGGAAATATAAGTCAAATGATATGAAAACTAAAAGAGAGTGAAAGTGATGATAAGGAATGAGACAAATAGTCTGCGAGAGTAAGGGATGGCATACTGAGAAGGAAACTGGCGATACTGGCCGTCAACAGACTGGACGCGCACAGGAGTATGGCGTGAGAGAAGTTGAACTCTCCTTCCGGCAGCCAATCCATGGTTATGGCGAATATGGCGGCCAAGAAGGCAACGATCGTCGCCTGACACTAACCGCACAGACAATTGGATTAGACATCCGATTGGTTGATCATAGAGTCAATCAATAGATAAATACTTGAATAAGCGCTATATTGCCGGAAGCGATGAGCCACTGCTCCCGACCCGAGTCTATACGACCCAAATTAGCCTGTGTTGAGAGCCGGGAGGCCAGAGTCATCTCCAGGTTGCCCTTCAGACCCAACAGCGCCGGCACTAATATAAACACTTCGGACACGTGTCTGAATACTTCCCAATGCTATACAATATGTTATGTTTGGTTAGTGTATTACAGTCAATGATATACAGAGATGTGTGGAGATGTGAGACACAGATATAGGGATCAAATGGTGTAATACCTGGACGTAATCCAAGACGAGTCCCGCGCCCACAGTCCCGAAGCCGGCGATCAGAAAGGGGACGAAGACCTGGAAATACAGCGACAGAAGTGACTCTTCGTAAACGGGTTGGCCGTCGATGTGGTCGTCAAACGAAGTGAACGATATGTCGGACGTCTTGTATGTCTTTCTCGTCGGTTTCCTCTTAGTCTTGCGGTGAGAGTCCGTGTCGTCGAGCAGTGGTTTCCTATCGTTGATAAGGGATGTCATGATGTGGTGATCGTTGGGATAGTTGTCGTCGGAGTCGTCCTCATCATCACTATCACCACCGACTCGTCGCACGTCTGGTGTCTTCGAGTACTTAATCACGTCTTCGCTGTACAACAACTCAATGATGTCTTGTCTGTCATTCTTCGGGAACTTCGTCTCCGGTGGCGTCTGTGAGCCATCCCTCGCATCTGCCTCTTCGTCGTCGTCGTAGTTGTCGTTATCATGACATCCGGTGTGGAGGTTGTCATCGATGGGGTGATAGTGAGTGGTGTGACGATCACCGGGGGATGTGATAGGAGTGGTGGACATAGGCTTGTGGTGTGTTGTGGTGTCTGTTGTGGTTGTGTTTGATTGTGATATATATCTCACTCTCAATTGGTTTTCACTCATAATTAATACAAATATAACAGTAATACTGATAACTGTTATAAGCGCTGACACAACACCTTAACAGCCCATACCTCCCATACCTCAGTCACAACATGAGTTGAGTACAGTATAGCGAGCAATGAGTGCTGTATTTATCAGTCAATAGTATTGCAGTTATTGTAATACACTATTCATATCATAATCAATGCAATCATTCAATGAGTACTGTATTGCATTTCATAATGAGTGACCCCTTTGTGTGCACTTCACTGCATTGCGAGCATCACTGTATAGTCTATGATAGCACTACATGTAATGTGCCTTGGTGGTGGTGGTGGTGGTGGTGGTGGTCGATAACTTGAAGGACTTGAAAACTAATTCAAAAATACTTAATACTGTACTTGACTTTTAATATTACTATATTTGAAATGCCCCGTTTATTTTAGTTTAGTCATCAATTCATTTCCATATATTTTTTACTGCTTTCCAGCAATCAATTGATCCAGAAATCCAATGCTAGACTCACCCTGACCACCCTGACCACCCTGACACTTGCACAAAATTCATGAGTGGTAGTCTATCAGTTAGAGTCTAACTGGTAAATGAAGTATTATAACTGTATTATAACTATCATAGCGTTGTCAGCACTTTTCGATATTCTCAGACAGACAGCAAAAATGAGGCATTTTCTGGAAGACGTTTGGAGGACAAGAGGTATAACATTAAAATACATTCAATAAGTAGATACACACAAAATTTCTCCAACAAATTCACCTTTTTCCAATCCTATGGGTATTTACTAATATTATTTCTTAAATAAAATAAAAATTCTATTAATTTTTTAATTTATCTGAAAATGTTGAAAAATAAATATATTTCTTGTTACCAGAGACCATTAAAATGATACCTGATCAGTGATCACAAACCTCCGTCCTCCAAAATGACTTGTGGTTTATTGAAAAATTACTTTTAAAAACTTACAATTTAATTAACAAATAAGTCGAACACTATTTGAATTTATATACTGAATACAACACTAGTCTATTCCTAGCAATTATAAGAAAAACATTGATATATATGATGAACAAGTATTATGAATTCTATCGTCCATTAATATTGCATATAAATTAATATACTGTATATAATTATAATGTAATAATTGCATGAAGTATTGATAACTTAATTTTCAGAATCTTGTCTTTAATTATAACATTTATATGATAACATTAACAAATGAACCAAGTTAGGTTACCAAGTCAAATTGAGTATAATTTACTAAATTGATAAGTAGAGTGGTACATGAATACATTGACCACACTAACTGTGCCCAATTGACCAAGTTCAAGTGTCCAATCATGATGTTGTCAATTGTATTGTTTATATTGTCTGCAATCATAGCAACCGTTGCCATACATATGAACACATGTTTTGACATTTGGTTTGTGTATTGAAATGAATTAGTATTTTCATGACAATATTATTGACAATTTAGCACAAAATGCAAATTACACTCAATTCACACATTTTGAAGCATTGGTTGACACCATAGTTGATGCCCTTGTCATCAATGGTGATCTACCGTCAGCTCCAAGAGGGACACCATCTGCAAGACATCCATGGGTTGAATATGACTCTAAAAGTATAAGAATTCACTTAAATCTCAATACAATTACTATTTATGAGATTAAGTGCTGTATTATTATTATCGATGACATTGGTGTGAATGTCGCCATCGATGGTCAACTCGTTTCTCAATTGTCTCATGCGATCACCACTTATATGAACGGATCCGTCTGTTGCTGAAGACAATGAGATAAAAGCCATTTTTGGACACATTTTAGCGATAAGTATAGCAATAGTTTTGTGGCTTAAATGGTGGCAAACATTGCGTGAATTGAAGTGAACTGATCTCAACAGTGATAGTCTGGAGATGGAGTATATCATTGATTCGGTGATGTCTATGTCTGCGGCGATGTCTAAGCGTTGTAATTGTGGTAAACATGTATTGATATTTGTGAAGAAATAGTGGCTAAGTTGGTGTCCATTTTGGACATCGATGGCCAATGATTGCAGATTCTGACAGTTGTTAAGTGTATCACATTTGAGGACAATTTCGTCACTTGTCTCTGAACTCATGTCTAATAAACCAAAACATGTTATCTTTAAATTTATTAATCGTTTTCCGAAACCGTTAATCGTTTTGAAGATTTTGTAATTTAATTGTCGAGAAGTGGTCCTCAATATTAAGATAATTGTCTGTATTTGCGGACATTTAATGCATACCTCTCGCAGAGATGCCGTCATTGAGGGATCAATTGGTATAAAGCATCTGAAGGTTAAGCGTTTTAAATGCCATAAACGAGTGATTTGTTTGAATAAGTGTTGGATCTGTTGATGACTGACAAGAGTGGAGACAACACTTACTTCAATCGACTCCAGACTATTCCTATTGTTCTCGAAGAGATTTGTAACTCTTTGCATGTCTTGTGAAGAATATTTGAAGAATATATGTCTCAATCTATGGACTAATAAATGATTGTTAAGATCGAAGGCAATGGACAGATCCATGAGGTGTTTGATATCAAGAGAAGTGAGTTTTGGGCATAACTTAAGAACATCTCTATTGGACCAATGATTCAAACGAAACGATAGTCTCCTTATATTTGGTCCCAATCTGTCACCAAATTGTTTGAGTGTATTGTCGGACACGTCGTTGAAGTCGGAGTGAAATGCACTCAATTGTTGCCACTGTTTGACTATCATCTGAAACACCAGTTCCTTATTCCTGACGCTTTCTTTCACTTCTATGGTTGCTATGAATCGACACTTTTTGGCGATTGTCTCAAATGTGTTTAAATCAATGGTTGACATGTATTTCGTGGGATTCAATACTTTGCCGATTTGTTTGCCAACTATTAATGACTTTATTTTATTGAATATCAAACGCTTCCACTGAGTGGACACACATTCATAAGAAAACTTTTGCTTAATATCTAAATAACTTAACAATAGTTCACACAAATCATCACCAAATCTGTCAAAACAGTCTTTGCTGTAAATTTGAGACATTTTAAAAATAAAATTAATTGTTAAATAAATGTTAGACTTATTATTACCGTAAGACTATTACGGTATAATTTAAACAAATATTTGAATGGTTCAATATGAATATTTTCCAATAAAAGTGTTTATTAAAGTCATGATTAAATGACTTATTTTTATGACTAATCATTTTAGTTATATGCTAATACCCTTGTAAAATATAAGGATTTTTAAAAAGTTTGAATTTATATTTAATTAGTTAACGAAATTGAAGTTAGATTTATTTCAAGGATTATAAATTATAACTTATATGATATTCACAAAGACATTATTTTATTTTATAAGGGAGTACGACAAATCTTACAAGCTTAATCTTTTTTAAAGTTCAGGAACAGTGTTATAAATAAATGTTTTGTAAATAAATATCTCATTTAAATATGTTTAATAAAATTAATTTTCCGTAATACGTGTTATCAATAAATCAAGCGTTTTCTAATGATATGTGAACTATATTTGATAAAAATGTCATAAATGGCATTAACATTGAAGACAAGTATTTTCTTTTGCGATTAGAGTGAAGTAATTTACAAAATAAATTATTTATATTAAGTCGAGAAATGCTGTAATTGTTTTATACGGTATCATAAATTTATCAGTTATAGTGGTGTGCAATAAATCTAATATTTTGAATGTTTTAACATTTCTATAATTATATTATAATATAACTCAATAGGCCAACTTTACCCTTTTATTAAAAATACCCACTTAAAATTTTAATCTCAATATTCAAGCAAAAATTAAAATGTGTTTAAATGTACCATAGATATTATAATATCTTCGTAAAATTTTCATCTACTTTGAATTGTTATCTTGGTACATTGTTTAGGTATATAATTTTAAACCTAATAATTTGAAATTATATATTGTACGGCACTTGTGTTACAATAATTACACTGAACACCAAGTACAGTTAATTTGAAGTACTGTCACTTTATTCACTTTATAACCCATAATAAATATAAATTAATATAAATAATGTCTTTTGAAAATTGGCGACATTTTTGTGTGAAGTATTTTCCGAGAATATAACAGACAATAAATGTTGTAATAAAATAGTTGTTTAAAACTACATAAAAAGGTATTCATTACTTCGTTATCAGTATTTTAGTTATCAGTAATAATCGTGACTTTGGTTACAAACAGCGAAACAACACAATAGGGTTGCAAACAAAGTGTTCAATCATTTCATACTATTGTCTGATACGAAGAAATCGCAAACTAATGATTAATTTTATAAATTTATATTCATTTCATGTGATTATTGTAAAATTTGTTGATTTTCGGTGAATTCCGAGAATATTCTGTAAAAATCAATGGAATATTCTGTGAAACAGAAGTCGTTGCGATCAAAGTCTGTGGGCATCACTGGGAGGACAACGAGTGTCAGACGTAAAGAAAGTTTTCAAAAAGTGAGGCAACAGTTTGAGATCAAATCCGCTTCCGATTTGACCAACAAATATGTGGTGAATAGTAAGGGACTGACGGATGGCTTACTGAAAGCCAACGATAAGAAGATAGCCATAAGTTTCACAAAAACTAAATCCGATTTAATCCGCGACTCACTGGACGTTATAAAGGAAAGTGATGTCAAAATTAGTGTTAAATCGGCGACAAATGGTTCCGTAAATACTGTGAATAGTAGTTGTGTTAAGAAATCATTGCAAATCTCATCACCAAATAGTGCGAGTCTTTCATCGACGTCACAAAAGTCTCGCAGAAGTAGAAGTAATAGTGAAGTGCTTTCCGTTAAGAATAAAATTAATTTTTTCGAAGAAAAGTATTCAAACGATCAAAGAGTGGTACCAAAGAGTTGTGGACCAAATAGTGGTGACAAAGAGTTGGTAAATAAATTATCGTCAAACAGTGCTGCTATAAGCTATGGAAACCGAGATATCAAACATACAAATGAATGCAATGATAAGCCAGTTGTGAGCGCACCTGTAGTTTGCGTCGATTTTTCTGAAATAAGTGGCAATAATGACAGTAATGATGGTTATCAGCAAACGTTGGACGACTTGTATGATAATAATTCAGAGATCAGACTTCATAAGTCTTTGACGAGATCAACATCTCAGACGTCAGACTTTGTGACGTTTGATACGGAACCGGATGTCGTGTTCCGGAGGCCTGAACTCAATGTGAATGACGTGAACAACTCGTCTAAATCGAGACCCGTTCCCAAACAAAGGACTTCAATCCCTAAATATGACGGCGAAGATAAGGGATTTGTGGACAAAGAGTTGGAAAACATTTGCGACAAAAGCGACACAAATGATGATTCGGTGAAAAGAGTTGGTCCGTCGGAATCGCCCAAAACTGACACAAAGAGGTCTTCATCCATAAGCCAAGACAGCGGTATATGCGATGTCTTTCATAACAAATCCTTCTTATATCACCCGAACAGCAAAGGAGTGATCAGTGGTTCCGGCGATAGATATAAACCGAAAACAACTCCAAAACCTAAACCTAAAGTCGAGGACACAGTTAATGATGAGGTGTTTGACGAACACATATACGAAGAGTTGAGTAATTTTCAGTCAAAGGTTCCCAACGAATGGGTGGACATCGAGAGCAGCGACGATAAGCACAACATCCCGAGTGAAGTGGTGGTCAATCGGCGCCAACACCTCCTCAGACCTAATGTTAATTACCGAAAGTCTCTGAAACCGAAGCCAAACAAACGAAAGAGTCATCGGAGGGGCTCTTTGCCTAAAGTGGTGGTCAGTGATGATCACAGCGCCAGCGCTACTGAGTATGAAGACATCGACGAAGACGATGATGACGTGTGTGTTGACCACAATGTGATTAATAGACAAAATTCTGTACAAACATGTGGTCAACGGATAGGTAGTCCTTTAGTTAAGCCGCGAGCAATCAGTCATCACATCTACGAAGATGCCGATGAGGTTCAGCGCCAGAAGGAGGAGCTGAAGGCATTGGATATTAAAACAAAACTCGTCAGAGAGTTGTCCACTAAATTGCTGGACAATACTACTGATGAGGAAGACTTATATAATGATAATCGGGTGGAAAGCGAACCAAACATATACACGTCGACCCCCACAAGGGCTCCGAAAATAAGTTTCGACTCAAATCTGTTACCAATTAATGAGACAAATTGTGGTGAAGTAGTGATTACTAGAAATAATTTTAACAAAAAACGAGACTCAATAGCCAGCAGAAACTCATCCATTTATATTAGCCCTGATTATAGTCACACTAATTATAATAATACTAATAATAGAAATCACAAAAATAACGAAAAGGGATTGGATTCTGGGAGTGATATCCACTTAAACGTAATCCCATTCTCGCAAATAAGAGCCGATTTGATGCAAAAACAGGACAATAATTCAAACGCCGGATTAATAGCCAGTTACCTCGAGTTTGACAATACCATCGAAGGACACAATTCGTGTCATTTTAATAGTGAACCTCTTTATCAATTTTATCAGAAGGACGTCCGCCGTAGGGCTGAGCTATGGATCCATTTGGACCAAAAGGGCCCGGATTTTGATTATGATGTCTACGAAGATAACTCCATTTATGAGCAGAGGATTAGTGATCCAAATGATCAGCAATTGAGTGCTCAGAGAATTAAGTCTTATTATAAGAGGAATATATCTGCCATGGATTTTGTGGGAAACGGTCCCAATAGGTCCTTATGGTGTCAGTTGCCTCAAGTTATCAACTCTAAGGATAATTTGTTAGCAACGATGTCTCCTCAAGAGAAGCGACTGCAAGAGTCCATGTTTGAGATCATAACATCTGAGGCGTCCTATTATAAGAGTATCGCTATATTAATCTCTCATTTTACAAATTGTCAAGAATTTAATGGTCATAATGAACAGGTGCTTACACGTAGGTAAGTGTGCAAATATAATATATTTGAATATCAATTTACCGTATTTTCCTGTTTTATATAATTGTATTCTATAAGTTGTTTTTATATGTTTTATTAATTTTCAGTAATTCATATTAAATATAATTTTCATTAAAAATTCCAGACTTAGTTTCCAATCATTGTGTGTGTAATTTATCTGTCAGCCATAGAATATTCTTGATAATAGTTGAACTTATTTAGTAAATATTCTCGTAAGTTAGTGCAATATTTTCTAAAAAATATATAACTATTTTTACTAATAATTTTACTAATAAGTTATCAAATACAAATATAGTATCCTATCTATTAATGAATGAAATGTAGTGATTTATAGGTAATAAAATTATTTCACAAACTATTTAAGAACATTATGTACTACAGTATGGTATCTCTATATAAACTTATAAATATATTGAAATAAATGAGCATGGCACTAAACATTGTTCACCTGATTGTTAGGGAAAGGAAGTGTTTGTTTTCAAACATAGCCGACATATCAACGGCCAGTTCCCGTCTATTGACTCATTTGGAGCGCCGTTTCGAGAAAAACATACTTTTATACGATGTCTGCGATATTCTGTACGACTTTGCCGTCAATCACTTCCAGCCATACGTTCACTACTGTGCCTATCAGAGGGACGGAGAAAAACTGTTGTCCCAATTGACACAAACCAGACCCCAGTTCCTCGATGTTCTGCAACGACTCGAATCCAATCAGATCTGTCAGAACCAGACTCTGCTCTCATTTCTTATGCTACCGATGCAGGTATGATATGGTATGGTATGGCTCACTATGTCATACATTGTTTTCTATGATTTCTCATTATTTTTGGTAATAAATTACTACTTGAAAGTGTTCAGTATAAATAAGTTTAATGAAGTACAAAATATAGTGCAGTATATACAGTAATGTATAACTTCATAAGTTACTTTAGATGTAAAACATGGATCAGGAATCAAATATTTTAGTAATATCTACGGCTACTCATATGATTTTGGGTTAGTTTAGGATATGGGTTGAGTACAACACTCAATAACACACATATTAATTGCGTAGGAGTTATAGCATATTGTGTATCATATCTGTGGATACATTTCAAAGCATTTCTTTCAACTCTGCTTTAATATAAATGTTTGGATAAGCATTCATTGAACAGTAATTTTAATGCAAAGCCAAAAGGTACTATTTGAATTGGGCCATAGATATCCTATGATTTGATGTCTATATTATTATGATAAATAGAGTGTGTTTTACTTTATTTGATTTGACATTGATGACATAATTGTAGGAAAGGGAACATTTAATTGAAGGTTGCATTTATTCTGATACAGTATATTTTTAGTGAATATTAAAAGCTACAGAATATTGTATACAGAAAACAATGCACATGATCTTGGTACTATACTACATAAAACATATTCATTGATAATTAAATTCACAAAGTTGTATTTATTATTGAGTTTAAAAATTATTTTAATAATCATTAAAATTAAATTAAAGTGGTTTATGATAATTTAAACATAAAAATAGAGCTTAAAATTATTTTTGCAGTTATAATATACACAGGAATATAATATACAGTATATATCTTATTGCAGTCTATAAAGCAGTTCTATATTAAAACATAGTTAATAATTTAATAATAATAATAAATGCATATTTATAATTACATTATATGCGGTAATTTAATCTACAATTTGATGCTTTAAATTCTAAACATTATTTCAATGTTGATTAACATACTGTATGATTAAACACGAACTCCCTGTCCCCTAATCAGCGCATAACTCGTTACCCGCTTCTGATTGACGCCGTTTGCCAACAATTACCAGAAAAGAGTCCGATTCTAGAGTCGGCCCGAAAGACGCTCACAATTGTTAACCAATTGGTCCGACAGTGCGATGAAGAGACCAAAAAAGTGCAGAGAATGCAAGAATTGATTGAAATCGAGAAAGTGCTGCACTTTAAGAGCAAAATCAAAAGCTATCCCATTGTGTCCGGTGCCAGATATCTAGGTATTCAAGCGATTACTTGTTTATCAAAGTTATCAAATGCAAGGAATTAACTACAAAATAATGAAACTTATTTTTATAATTGACATAAACTCATAGTAAAGAGGGGTTCAGTGACACGACTATCACCACAACTGTCAGCGAAGAGGACTATCGGCAAATCAACCCTCAAATGGACGAAGACTTGCATTCATTTATTTCTTTTCAGCGATCTATTGATTCTCGCAAAGAAAAAGAGGTTTCAATTATTTTATGACTATTTATTTCTTTAATAAATTAATAACTATTGAACTATATATTTAATAATTTGTTTTCTGTTTAATTTAATTTAAAGCGAAACAAATTATGCTGTGTTTGACTACTGCTCTCGAAATACAGTTCAACTCATATCTCTGGGCGCTGCCGGCGAAGGCATTGGTGGACAGGTGGGCACCACACCCGTTAAGATCACAATTCCCGTCAATTACCAGAATTTGGTTCAACTCATACTTCTTAATAATCACGAGTCAAAGACTGTTGAATATACCATTCATTTTGATTTAGAGTAATTATTTGGATAACATTTATTTTCAAAGCATTTGTATTGCATTCATAAAAAAGTATTTCCAATTTTGTTTCAAGAAATACTGTATTCCTTATGAGAATATTTTAGAGATATTTCCCTTATTTCATTCACTATTTGTTAATTTTAAAAATATACTGTATTTCGTATGAATGCAAAGTATTTGCACACAATTTATAATTTTTAAAACTAAAACTGTATTTATTTTTTGGTAATAACCTTAGGAGTGATAAACTTCGATGGATTGAAGCCGTGTCTCAGCCCTCGTCTGATGATCCAAATGAAGTGATTTATGAGGAGTGGGGTATTCCTATAAATTTTTAGTATTTTAGTCATTAGTTTATACTATGTGCTAGATAAAATAGTCAAATAGAAGTACCGTAATAAATTTTTAAATAAGCCTATTATATTCGTGAATAGTTTAAGTTACTACAGTATAATATTGCTATTCAATATTGATTAGTCTGTCCATCCTATAGACTGTCCACAAGTGCAGTGCGTCCGGTGTTATAGCGCCCGACAGACCGATGAAATCAGTTTAGAAGAGACCGACGTTTTGAATGTTTGCCGCAAAATGAAAGACGGTTTGACTGATGAGCCCTTAGAAGTGTTTTATTGATAATTATTATGAAATCTACTGAACTATAGGTTGGTTTGAAGGCCAAAGAATAAGGGATGGTGTGAAGGGGTGGTTCCCATCGGAGTTCACCGAAGAAATTGTAAACCAACACGTTAGGGCTCGTAATATGCGGTTACGACACCGGCTGTTGATGTATACCCAGTCCTATATTGAGGTCCAAAAACGGTCGTCCTTAGATTTGCATTTTATGCAATAATTTTCTCACTATATTGAGTACTGTACTGAATACGAACTTTAATGCAATTAAAAAATTAATACAAATACTGTATAATGAACAACTGTATAAGCCAATAACATGTGTGTGATACCATATAGTCTAATTGTACAATTACACTGTTTAAATATTACTCTAAATTTCATAAACATGTTTAAATTCCAATCAATTAGTCCTTAATTTTTATTTTTGAAAAGTTGTGAGATTTTAAAACAATAATTGGATATTTTTATGATAATTTAGATTGAATTAAGAGTTTTGTACTTTAGTGACAGATATAATTAAATTCTAAACAAAATTTATTATTATTATTTAATAATGACTAGAAATGTCTAAAATTCAAATAATTTTTAATAAATATATCGAAATTCTTAAACCCCTTTTGTCCTAATTATAAACTTTTATAAAACTATATTTTATGTTTTATGCAATTTTTATATTGAATTAATGTCTTTATACAAATCATTGCTAATAATGTCGAAACATATTTCAAAACATAACTTATTATAAATCATACGACAAACTACACTCGTTCATATCTTAAGACAAAATCTTATTTACACTAATCATTGATAATACAAACGCATTTGCACTTAATGTAATTTAATAAATATATAATTAATTTGTCAAAACATTTCAATCAATTAATTGACTGACATGTTGCATGAGAATTGAGTTAATTGTAAATGAAACTAATTGCTTATTAAATACAAAAATTATCTAAAATAGCGTTTACACAGAATTGACACTCAATTGGTGTGAAATATAATTCAATAATTTTTTTGTTTAATTACATGTATTTTTTGATAAATAGATTAAATGTCAATTTTTAAACTAAATCATGTTATTTGTCAGAAATTGATGAATAGTGAGAAGCAAAGACTGAAAATATATTTGTATTAATCATATATTATATCATAATTGACTTCACATCTAAATTCAATATTTAGTGCAATAATTTATTTAACACTTATTGATACTGACTATTGGTCGACTTTACATTTTATTCATGTTAAAAGTGTTATTTAATTTATATTATATTTAAATATTCATTTATTTATTCAAATGCAATAAATTTCTATTTGATCAGTGATTATTTTTCAATTCATGTGTATTAATATAACTTTTAAATATTATTAACTAATGTTAAAATATGCTATCAATAAATAAATTGATTATTTTTAAATTTTGTTAAATTAATTATTTATTATAACTAACTAATTATTATAACTAAAGTGTGGACACAATGTTGAGCACAAACTTTTCGATCATTGATTACTTAGTGTTTAGTCTATTATTAATCTCGTCGTCACTAATCGGTGTTTTCTTTTGGTTTAAATCGCGAAATAATGCCACGAATGAGGAGTTCTTGACCGGTAATCGCCAGTTAGGTCTGTTCCCGGTCACCATGTCATTGGTGGCCAGCTTTATGTCGACAAACACACTGCTGGGCCTACCGGCCGAGGTATACCAAGTGGGCACTCAGTTTTCGCTGCAAATATTTTCCATCACAATAGCTGTACTGTTGGCCGCAGAGGTGTTTATGCCTATCTATTACCGATTGGGACTTTTGAGTGTCAATGAGGTCTGCTATTACACCACTTATGAGTATATTATCTATAATATTAATGAACTAATTCTCAAACAGCAATTTGATCTACTGTACGGTATAGCTAAGTTATTAAAATAGTTTTACCATAGTATTTTATTGTAGTCATAATATTATTATGACTACAATATGATATGTACTGTATAATGATATGTACTCTATGTTTATGTATTTATTCTGAATATATTTAGTCTTAACTCGTATTTATTCTGATTAGAAATATGATTTATATCAGGTGTATCAAATAATTATGAAACTGTAATTTTATGTTCGTGAATCTATTAACTGATTTAGTACAGTATTTATCTGTATATCTTAAATAATTTTGTTTTAATATTTTAGTATTTGGCAAAAAGATTTGATTCAAACTATTTACGTCTTGCGGGAACCGTTGGGTTTTTGTTAACAACAGTATTTATTAATTTTGTTATAATTTTTAAAGAATATTCTTTATAACTTATAACATTTGATTAATTCGTAGACACCTTATATGGCGGTAGTGTTGTATGGGCCGGCACTGGCACTTAGTTCAGGTTCACAATGCATTTAATTCTAAGTTTACATTTATTTATTTATAATAGTTAATTATACCGTATTATATTTGTAAATAATGTTAATTTAATTATAAATTAATCATTATTAAATCATTGCTTCCTATAGTCACTCCACTATCGATCACTACATCCATATTAGTGGTCGGAGTTATCTGTACTTTCTATACATCAATTGTAAGTTAAATAGCAATAATTTTATAATTAATTACATAATTGAGTATATTTAAGTTTTAATTAAAATTTAATTAACAATTTTTATACTTTAATTAAGGGAGGTATCAAAGCAGTCATTTGGACGGATGTCTTACAATGCATTTTAATGTTTTTGGGGGTTATTATGGTTATCATTCAAGTAATACCTCATAATTTTCAATTAGTTTATAAAGTTTTATTAGTTAAAAATATTTGAATACTAAAGGGTATCATAGAAGTGGGAGGTGTGTCTGAACTGTGGAGAATCAATGAGAAAGGGGGTCGACTTAAATTCTTTAAGTATAATCATTAATTATTTCTATTTCATGTACAGTACTGTTAAAATTAATATTTAAACATACAATTGATTGTATGGTCGGGTAGTATGAAGTTTGATCTCTACAATCACGACAACTTCTGGAATGTGATGACCGGCACAACCGTTACGTGGAGTGCCTGTTATTGTGTGACACAAACACAGGTCCAGCGATACTGTAGTATGGGTTCACATCAAAAGGCCAAACGGTTCACACTTTCTTATATGAATATATCAATTATGCCAATTATGCCAATTATGCCCATTTCAATGCTAATTGTAATGCATAACACCCCATAGCACCCTATACTGGAACCTCCCGGGGCTAATCATATTAGCGATAATGGCAATATTATGTGGAATGGTGATATATGCAAAGTACCACGCATGTGATCCGGTCACTTTGGGAATCATTGAACGCCACGACCAGTTGATGCCATACTTTGTGATGGACACGCTATCCAAATACCCCGGTCTGCCCGGACTGTTCGTCGCCTGTGTTTTCTCAGGTTCTCTCAGGTATTCAAAGAAAAGTCTAATTATATTAATATTCGGAGACATTTATCGAGTAAACTGGATAATTATGGCTTTGTATAAACAATTGTATTTTATTGCTTAAGACTTTAATCAAATATTGATTAATACAACAGCACTCTGTCCTCCGGGTTCAACGCGTTGGCAGCGGTCACGTGGGAGGACCTCATCAAAGATAGGATCAAATTAAATGAAAAACAGGCGCTTACTGTCACTAAACTGATTGGTAATACAACATTTACATATAGTATTCACATTCATCTAATTATCAATTTATATTTAATTGAAAGCCATGTCATATGGATTGTTAGCCATAGCCATGTCCTTCGGTGTGGGCAATGCCGGCACTGTCTTACAGGCTTCGATGGCACTGGTGGGCTCTATGGTGGGCCCACTATTTGCCCTGTTTATTTTAGGAATCCTGTACCCATACGCCACCGCACCTGTAATTTATGAATAAATTTGTTGTATAATAATTTGTATAATTGAAATATTTTTTAGGGCTCATTAATAGGCTTTATATGTGGTGTGACATGTAGTCTATTTCTATCGATCGGATCTCTGGTGATCCCCCGACCGAAGGTGTCTTTGCCGACCACTTTAGACGGCTGTTCAGCCGATATACTCAAAGAAGTTTTCTCGAGATTCAACGCATTGCCCACCTCTTCATACATACCGTCTTATGATAATCCAGAGTTAGTTTTGTTTAATCCATACGTACAGTACAATACAGTATTATGTTATCAAATTATATTAATAACTCAAAATTGATGTAACATTTAATTATGTCAAATTCCTATATTTCAGAGGTTTTGGTAGATTTTTTCACATCTCATACTTAATACTATCTGCCTTTGGGTTCATAATCTGTTTAATAGTGGGAGTGATTGTCAGTCTATGTATAGGTTTGTAAAAACTTTTAATTTTTGGATACAGTATGAGATTTGATAAAATAATTAATTTTTATTAAATTATTTGATCATTTATTGATAGGTAAGAGAAACGAGTCAATGGATCCCAATTTGATGTCTCCGATCGCCAAATATTTGTTTCCATGGATTAAATCACAACAAATGTATTCATCGAATGGAAAGGTTTTTATAATGTGTTATATTTATGATAAAAATGAATTTAATTGATAAATATTTTTGCAGCAAAATAACAATATAAAGACTGTGGAGGGACTAAGTTTTACAATCAGTAAAAGTAACCCTAATATACCTAATGATACGAATAATGAAAATCATACCACCGTATAGTAAAAGTTTATAATTTGATTGAGGTTTATGTTGTCTTAAGTAAACATTTCAATAACAATAAAATTTACTTTTCAACTCACAATTTGTGACACAATTTGACCGACAATTGTCTTGGGGATTATTTGCGGATAAAATTGCAATCATTTGTTTCGACAGTAATTGTCTCCGTCCCTCATCAGCGCAATGCTGTCTATAATTGACAGTACTGTCAAATTGTGACTGAGACAATTACTGTCGAAACAAATGATTGCAATTTTGTCCGCAAATAATCCCCAAGACAATTGTCGGTCAAATTGTGTCACAAATTGTGAATTGAAAAGTAAATTTTATTGTTATTGAAAAGCTTATAAACTTTAATAAATCAATTTTATTTTTTTTATCTTTTGATATGAATTTTAAAATTAGTACAATTTAAAGATTAAGGAATATAATATATTATTTAAGTTATTTTTGACAAATTTTATTTATATTAGTTAATATTAGTAAAATAATTTTTAATTAATTTAAAACAAAATTATCAATTATTAGTAAATACACAAAAATTGTTAATATAATTAACATTTTTAACAATTTTGTTATTAATATTAAAACAATAATCTAACTCTTTTTGATCTTTTAATTGTTTTATATGATTGGATTTTAAGTTAATTTTTTCATTTGAATTTAAAAGCAGGGTAATTGATTTAATTTGTAAACAATTGTTTATAATTTGTAAAGCGAGTGGTTTTAAGTCAATTTCATCGCTAGTGTCGTATAAATTGAAATAAATTGACCATAGATTTGATAGTCCGGTCAGTTTATATGTGAATAAAATTGGCACAGGTATATATGCAACGGATAGTATCTGTAGTTTTGGAAAACATTTGTCAATATCAGTAAAAAACTGGTAATCCATCAGGTGACCTGGTACATTAATCTCCAGCCGTGTTAAATTAACACAGTTGTTGAATAATTGACATTTTAATGCAAATTCTGTATGATAATTTTTATGTTTGAATACTCCAAAACATATAATTTTTATAATTTTTAAATGTGTAAAACAATTTATAGTTTTAAACAATTTATAAATTAATTCATTACTATTTGTATGGATATTGAACACTACTTTCTCTAACTTTTTACAATTAAGCCAATTTTGTGGGGAATGTTGAATGAAAATATCGTCAATTTTGGTAAAACAACTAAACTCAAAATGTTTTAATTGTTTTAATTGAGAGATATGTGTGAATATGTAATCAAGTGTATCATTAAAGGCATCAAAATGGGCCCCAATTGTCATATTAAGTGATTGCAAACTATTAGCGTTTTTCTCGAAGAGTATTCCAATTCTTTGTATATCTTGTGAGGAATATGTGAACCAAATGCTCTTCAATTGATTCACTAAAACAGTGTTTAATTCATCAAAAATAATCGACAGATTGAAGAGCGATCGCATATCAATTGAAGTGACATTTTGACACTTTTTAAAAATTTCTTTGTTTGAAATATGATTTGAATGAAAAGTAATTTTCCTTAAACTATTAGCAAACTTGTGCCCAAATTGAGTAATAGTAGTGTCGGATAAATCATTGAAGTCTGATTGAAATTCAACCAAATTATAACAATATTTGATAATCACTTGAAATATAAGTTCTCTATTCATTACACTTTCATTCACTTCTATATTTGTAATAAAATTACATTTCTTTAGAAGGATGTCTAAAATACTTAAATCAATTGCACTGTTGTTAACATTACTTGAAATAGGTTTTCCGATAATTATTTTATAAATTTTATTGAATATCAAACGCTTCCACTGAGTGGACACACATTCATAAGAAAACTTTTGCTTAATATCTAAATAACTTAACAATAGTTCACACAAATCATCACCAAATCGGTCAAAACAGTCTTTGCTATAAATTTGAGACATTTTAAAATAATAGTTTACATTTAGTTATTGCTTGTAATTTAACATAAAACGCATTAATTTTTGAGTTATATTTTTTGTTAACATAAAATTGATAATTAATAGTGATATGTAGTTAATGTATGATTAGTGTGTTTGAAAAATAGAAATAATATCTAATCATTTTATAAAAATGTTTATATTTTGTTCAAATATTAATTTTAGACATAAACTATGTTATAAGTAAGAAAAATTTTTGTATAAATTATAATATTTATATATTTATAACCATTAAAATAGTAATATAAAAATTAGATAAAAATAAATTCAATTCTTAATGAGTTTTACAAATCCATTGATTTTATTAACTTTTTATGCCATAAATCTAAAGCCATTTGAATTGGAAACTCATTGACATATTTGCCGTCAAATTGTTGGGCAAACACTTGATTGGAGACAATCCATCGCTCAATATCTTGAGTGAACTGTTGGCCACAATTGTAATAATGAGACAATAGGTATGATTGAAGACAATTTTGTTGATTCAGTGATTGCCATAAGAACTGTCGACAGAGTTTCATAATAGAGATAATGTTATACATGTCTGCAGTGGTGAGCAGTTCCATCACATTGTCGGCGTTGATGTCCAGCAATCCATTGTAGGCGTAGTTTACGATACAAACGAGACAATAGTCGCTAATTTCTGTCATATGGAGCCGATGGCAGCCATCGGTGGACGCCTTGTCTTGCATTGAGTTGTAGTGAAAGAGTTTCTGAAAATACGGACTCAAACACAGCATAACTATGCGATGGACTCTGTATTGGTGTCCACTGTTGGACACAAGTATGAGATCCGGTCTGCAGTTGATTAGTGTCCGGTCCTTAAGAATAAGCGCCGATTCGGTGCATATCATGGATGTGATGGTCATTGTCTTTGTGGTGGACAACAGACTGTGGACTCAATTATTGCCACAAGTTTACGGATTTGAACTTATTTTGTCAATAAGTTTGCATTTTTAAAACAATTGAAACACATTTTTATATAAATTGTCAAAACTTTTGTTTCAATCAAAACTATCGTAGTTTCAAAAGTTTCAAATAAATGTCACATTATTTATGGCTTATTATCATATCACCTGAACTGTATTATGCAATCAAATGTTCAAATGTTTACAGATACCAGACTGGTATTACCAGTCGAAAAGTGTCATATTTCATATTTTGAGTAATTTACATATTTTCTTAAGTTTTTAAAAATTGTAATCAATTGTAATCTCTTATGTTTTGTGTCAACACTTAATGTAATGATGTCTCGCATTATGTGTGCATTGATTGCCACCAAAAGTCGTTTACTTCACAACACTTCACATCATTTGCAGACAAATCAGTATTTATTAAAAACATTAACTTTAACTTTATTTATACTTTTTGCACACTTTTATAATACTAATACTAATACTAATACTTATTTTGAAAACTTATTACTATAAATGTCTCTAATTATGCCAATCAATGATATATTATACGACAATAAATGCGACAGCGATTCGGGTTTCATATGATTTATTGATTAGCAAAAAGTGGTATAAATGGTATAAATGAATATAATCCTAATGCCTAACCGCATGCCATACCTCCAGTTCCTATACTATGTGTCTATCATATGATGATAAGTAAAGCCATATTTTTGTGTCCAATAAACACAGCAAACGATTGGTGCAAATGTTGGGCCAAAAGGTGTCCGTCGATGGCCTTAATATACACTACGAAAGGGTTGGCACCGGAAAGCACACCGTTTTGCTACTTCCCGGAGCTCTCGGTATACCATCAAACACTTGAGTATAGTTTTTGTGTCACTTAATTGGTGTCAAACTCTCGACTCTTAGGCTCCACTCGAACCGACTTTACGCCACAACTGGAGGGTATGGACCGCAAGAGGTTTACTTTGATCGCATGGGACCCACCGGGATATGGATTCAGTCGACCACCGGAACGGGATTTCAATGACTTTTACCGCAAAGACGCCAAAATAGCCGCACAACTCATGAGGGTTTGTATTACAGGTTTGATTCAGTCATTAGAAATGTGTGAAACTTATGACAAACTATTGGATTAATCGTAGTGTCAGTTGTATTGATGAATGCATTTATGATGATTGACAAGAGTTTACATTATTTTTGGGACAGACATTGGGTGAGGACAAGTACTCTCTGGTGGGTTGGAGTGACGGCGGCATCACTTCACTCATCATTGCGGCCGCGAATCCCCTAAATGTACAAAAACTGGTGGTTTTCGGAGCCAATGCCTACATCTCCGCAGAAGACAAACGACTGATTCGTGAGATCCAAGACTTAAACAAATGGCACCCAAAGGCCCGACAGGTTTACGCCGACGTCTACGGAGCCGACACTTTCGCCAAACTTTGGGAATCATTCGTCGAGTATTACTGCAAAATGGATGACATTTGTAGGGATGACCTGAAGGCCATCAAACAGTCGACCCTTATATTACACGGAGATCTGGACCCTTTGGTTGCTAAGGAGCACCCAAAGTATCTGTTGGACAACATATCGGACTCAACGATCCATCGATTTCCTAAAGGGAGGCATAATATTCATCACAAGTATAGCGAAGAGTTCAACAAAATTGTGGAAAAGTTTTTGATTCAATAAAGTCTTTAATTATGTCTCAATTTATTTATTTATAAACAAATGTTATTTTTTTATTGTTTATAAGATTATACATTAACAATTTTGAGCCATATATTCTTTGATGGTCATTTCAATAAAGTATAGGAATAATAGGAATTGTATTTCATAATATACTTAAAATTGTTATAAGTTTTTTAGACAATGATTAAACAATTTACTGTCAACTTTAGACAACTGACTCGTGAGTAAGTTCTTGATAGGTCCCCTAATGATAAATTGGCCCTGACCACATTCTACTGGTACAGTACAATGAAAATAAAAGAGAAATTTGTTAACAAAGTGGTCAAAAACAAAAACTAACATTGCTTTAATTTGATATTTTAATAACAGTAACAAAAAGTGCAGATCAGATATGATATGAATACAATTAAAGACATTCACAAATAACAAATTAAATTATCTAATAAGTACTCACTTGTCAGTAGATTGTGTTTACGTCAAAAATAAGCAAATCTTTCTATTAATAGAATAAAAATAGAAATATTGGTTTAATTAAACCTAAATTTAATCTCAATTGTTATCTCACTTGTCAACCAAAAACTCATGAGACAAGTGGATCTCTAAATTATTATTGATATAAATTGATGTAAAAAATGATAGATCAGACTAACTGATAGATCTATGGATGTGAATCATAGGATTGTGAGAGTTGTCTGTAAAGAATTACAACACAGTAATTTATGTAATTAATGTACAATTAACTAATACACACGTACAATCTTAATTGCACATATTCTCTAATGAAATCACATTTTCGGTATACTGTATTGTATACTGTACAGCACTATATTTTATTTATATATCTATTTCGCAAAAAAGTGGAATATTTTGTGCGAAAATATGTTAAGTCATAAACCTATTTAGCATTTCTTATGACTTTCTCTGTTTATGTCATTTCTGTAATTAAATTTAAAATATTATATACAGTATTGGTCTCAGTTTTAAGACATAAACTTATTTTATATATGATTTGTTATAAGATTTGAATAATTCAGTAAATTTAAAGTTTTTAACTATAACATTTTATAATGGGCTTCTATGTGCTAAAAAGTCTTAGATGTTAGGACTCTAGTTAATTAAGAAAATTATTATCAAGATCATTTTAACCATATAATTTGATACTATAAATTAATATATAGATAAATAATGAATCAATATTAAGAATCAGAGATTGATTTTAATAAATAACACTGAAAATGCCCTATGTTGTCACTAATCAGGTTTTATATATTTGCCATAATATATTATACTTTTATGAGATGTTTATTAATAAGACATTTGATTTCAAAAGTGTTTCAATTGTTACACAAGAAACTGGTAATCATTTCATTGAAATCTTGATTTTGAAGACGCATTTGATTATCTGAACAAAAATCACTTTATGATTAAGTAGTGGTTAATGATTAGGACTTTTCATACTGTACTCATGAAAACTTTACCATGATGTTTGCACTCTTACACAATGAAACTCTCGCATACATGCAATTGTCTGTGATTTAAGTTACTGTATTGTGTTGACATTAAAATTGAGACAGCTTGTTTATTCTTATTTTGTTCCTTAATTATATTACTATTGCAATTGCTAAATTATTATAAATAATTATATAATTTTTAATACTATAATATACTATAAAATATAGTAATTATAAGATAAGATAATATTTTTATATAATAATGCAAAAATAATTGTTTAAAAGAACTACCCTAAGTTAAATTTATTGATACATATTTTTATATAACACATCTTCACAATAAATTAAATAAATATAAAATCATTACAATATACTACTTTCGTTACGGAGTGTATTAGAAAATAAAATGGTGTAAATATTTTAAAGTATGTTAAATAGTCTCAGAGCGTAGACTGTGAAAGGTCTGCGACGGGAATTAACGCTCACGAGTTACCCGAGTTGGATCGGGACGCCAACCCCAGGCTTAGACCCCAACTTGGGCTCTCTATATTGCAAGTAATACACACCCCTAGTCCTAGTCTCTATTCGCTTGGTTGCTACGGCATTTGGGTCGGTAAAGTGTTCCCCTGT